GTCCCTTTCCCTGCATGCCAGAAATCACAATTAGGGAAATACAGCCCTTTCAATACTTGAGTCCATAATGAGGAAGGGTTTTGGGTAATTCGCCATGCTTGTTTTCCCAACATAGCCCCATTAAAAGCCATTAGATCCCTGAATCCAAGTCCTCCACTATCATTTCTTCGTTTCAGAACATCCCATTTCCTCCAATGTAGTCCAGCTTGTGTTTCACCATTTTTCCACCAAAAAGATGCAATTTTCTTTTCAATTGGTCTGCAAATGGAGACGGGGATTTTAAAGATAGACATAACATATTGGGGTAGTGCTTGCACCACTGCTTTGAGGAATATTTCTTTTCCAGCTTTTGACATTAGATTTTCCTTCCAACCTGCTAGTTTCGTGTTTACTCTTGCTAGTATCCAAGCAAACATATGTTTTTTTTATGCCCCCCAGTCTGAAGGGATCCCTAGGTACTTCCCCGTCTTCTCTAATTCTGGAACTCTAAGCTCATATGACATATTCTGTCTCAAACTCTGTGGACAATCCTTGCTGAAATATACCCCTGACTTGTTTAAGTTTATTGATTGCCCAGACGCAAAACAATATTGATTCAAAATAGCTGCAACATTCTGGCATTCCATAATCGTTCCATCGAGGAAAAAGATTGAGTCGTCTGCAAACAAGAGGTGAGATAGCGTGGGGCAGAATCTATTCAGCTTGATCCCCTTTATACTTCCATCCTCCATTGCCTTTTTCATCAAAAAAGATAACACATTACCCACCAAGATGAACAAATAGGGGGAGAGGGGATCACCTTGTCTAATTCCTTTTGTTGGTTGAAAATAGGGTAGAGGCTCTCCATTTAGCTTGACACTAAAGGACATAGTAGAGACACATTGCATAATCCACTTCACCCATTGATCACTAAAACCCATCTTCCCCATGCAAGCTTCCAAAAAATCCCATTCAACTCTGTCATAAGCTTTTTGCATATCAAGTTTAAGCACTGCTTGAAACTTTGGTTTTCTCTTTCTGATTCTCAACTGATGTAGCACCTCTTGGACAATTAAGATGTTATCCTGAATTTGTCTTCCACTCATGAAGGCACTTTGCTCAATAGAAATTAAGTTTGGCAAGCATATTTTCAATCGGTTTGCCAAGACTTTTGATATAATCTTGTACGCAAAGTTACACAAGCTTATGGGGCGAAATTGTTCCAGTTTTTCCGGGTTTGGGATCTTTGGAACGAGGGATTTATATGTTCTGTTCAACTCTGAGTTGAGATACCCTGAGCGAAAAAAGTTTTGTACCTCCCTGAAAACTGATTGTTGTAGCTCTTTCCAGTTATGCTGAAAAAACTAGCCATTTAAACCATCGGGTCCTGGGGCTTTTGTAGATCCAACTGGTAGACTGCTTCAGTTACTTCTTCTAGTGTCACTGGCTTTGTTAACATCTAGTTCATGTCCTCCCCTACTAGACAAGGATAGTCCTCCAGTGTTGGCTGGAAATTTCGAGGGCCGACTGTTTGAAAAAGGTTGCTGAAGAATTGAGATGTGTGCTACTTTAGTTGAGTTATATCATGAACCCATTCCCCTTCTTCATTTTTTAACATGGAGATTTTGTTCCTCGGTCTCCTCTGAATTGTTGTGGCGTGAAAAAATTTAGTGTTTTTGTCTCCCCATTTGAGCCAATTTACTCTCGATCTCATACCCCAATACATCTCCTCTTGTCTCCACATCTTCTCGATTTCATTTTTCAGAAACTCCACCCTCTCTCTGTCCCAATGCAAGTGTTGGTTGTTGGAGATATCCTGAAGCTCTCTCTTTAAAAGGTCTATTTTCTTCTTTCCATTGGAGAACTTTGTGTTGCTCCATTTAGATAGAGCCAATGATACTACTTTCAGCCTCTTCAGCAGATCTTCATTCATCAATTCTTCCGAGTGCCAGACTTTTTTAATGATGTTTCCACATTCCTCATCTTCCAGCCAAAAAACCTCAAATTTAAAGTCTTTTTTCCTTTTCACTAACTCGGGAAAGAGAGATAACAAAATAGGACTATGGTCTGACCCTATTGCCGGCAATGCATATGCTTCAGCGTGTGGAAAGCAAATTCGCCAGTCCATAGTGCACAATACCCTGTCCAATCTCTCCTTGACATGATTTTCTCCATCCCTATTATTTGTCCAAGTGAAAGCACATCCCTTACTTTCCAAGTCCATTAAAGAACAAGTATTGATGAAGTCTCGGAAAGCATTGAGTCGATAATGTTCCGCCATGCGCTTCCCTACTTTTTCCCAGTGATAAAGGATTTCATTGAAGTCTCCTATGCAGACCCATGGTCGATCAGTCAAGTGGCTAATGTTGTACATATCTTCCCAAAGAACTAGCCTTCTCCGGAACTCAATTGGTGCATGTATAAAGGTCAGTCGCATTCGTTGTTTTGTTTCCTCTAATACGCACACCAAATCTATAAAGAATTCAGAGTTTGATTCCACTGATAAAGATACTCTGTCATCCCAAAAAATAGCCATACCCCTGGCAATACCCCTCGGATTTACCAAAAAACTGTTCTGGAGTCGTAGCTGCCTTCTGAGTCGAAGTACTACTTGTTCTTGATTTTAGTCTCCATAAAAAATAGTATACGGGGCTTTTCTTGAGCCACAAGGGCTCTGATTGCTTGAATTGTCAAGGGATTGCCCAACCCCTAACAATTCCAGCATATAATATTCATATGTAACCCGGTGGCTTATTAGGGCTAGCCACCAAAGCCCATTCCATTGTTCCTGACACCACTTGAATAGGTGTATCCAGTAATTGAGTTTCATCTAGCAGCTGCGAGTTTACCATTTGTGCTTCATAGGGGTTGTACCTGCGTTTCTTCTTAGCAGCAGCTTTCTTTGTCTCTTTAAGCTTCTTATTCTGAGCAACTTCTGGGAGCATTTGTACATCAGGGGAGGTAGAGCCACTGCTCTGACCTGGAAACGGCAGATTGGTTGGAATAAAGTCCTCACCCCTCTTGGCTTGTTGCTGCGACTGCATACTTGTATCCCCAAACATTATGTTCTTTCCCTTTTCTACTTGAATATGGTTGGGCTGAGAGAAAGGTTGCAGGGCTTTACCCTGAAAAGGCACAATCTGAAGGGAAAGTATTGGGGTCTCAGAGATAATTTCCTCTTCTATATCCTCCTCCTTTAACTTCCCATAAAAGAGCTTCATAAAAGGACTGTGACCCTGTACTTCGGCTTTAAGCCACTGGCCATAGAGACACTCATCCTCAGCTTCAGATTTCCCTTCTTTGAATTCGACTTCTTCACAGTAATTTGCGTTGTGCCCTAATCTACCGCAAGAGTAGCAGAAATTAGGGAGCCTCTCAAACTTATAATCCAACCAGAGCTTTTTCCCTCCCTTGCTAGCAATAAATCCGGATTTTAAAGGGGTTTTCACATCTAAGAGGACTTTCGCCTTCCCAATTTTGTTAGCTGCAACACCCTTCGCATCTACCTTCACATCCATTACCAGACCCAGACTTTTAACAGCTCTTAGAACGACTTCTTCTGTAAGCCATTCAAAACGAAGTCCGTGGATTTGCACCCAAAAAGGACACGTATCAAACTCATATCGGTGTGGAAGCATATCTGGTTCCCATTTTTTGAGAATCAATAGATGGCTCGAGAAGGACCAAGGACCAGTTTCAAACACCCTCAGAAGTTCTTTCTCAGTCATGAAGGTAATGGCATAAATTCCAGATTCCAAAGGGGAGAGGGTTACATTCTCAAGTCTCCATGCTTTCCTCATTGTGCTTTGGAATGCTAGAAAGTTTATCTTTGGGTTTTGAAACAGCTTGCCAACGAGGGTAAGTCTACCTTCTCTGATTTTGCTTGTAGGAACCGCCTCATCCATTGCAGTAACTTCTGTTCTTGACCAAAGCCTGCCTAATCGTTTGCTGAGTACTGCCATTCGACTCTCTGATTCCTCCTCCCTCTCCATGATCACTTTCCAAAGCAAAAACATAGCATACAGAAAGACTTACCCGAGACTAGATGTAATCGATTCAAGTATGAAAGACCCAACGCAGAGCGATCAGGAGAACTGCATAGCATTCCGATATGGACTTCAACCGAGAATTTTGTTGGACGAGATGCCGACCATAAAACACCTTCACCTTACCCTCACTGGTAGTGCTCCAGAGGTTAGGGGCAGGAAGAGTGGTTCAGGCATCATTACCGGGTTTTGGGCTTTAGGAAACGATTAGGGTTTATGGGTTGTAGGGATTCAACAGATTTCCACTCTCTTTGTTGTGGAGGAGCCACTAATGTGGAGAGGAGCGACCGTATCAGGGGATTCAGAAGGGGTTGATTTGCGTTGTGAGATACAGGGATTAGGGTTTAGGATTTAGGAGACCTACCACCAAAGGGCAGAGGAGAGCTCTTCATGATGAGAAAGAACGGAGAACACGATTTTGGCCACCACTAATCCTTGCTTCCAAGGAATTTTAGGATGATGTTATAGGGGTGAGTCAGATGGACTGCTCGAATTGAGAACTGCCCGGATCGGACCGGACCGGCCGATTTGGTCCGATTTTCGGGAGTGTTGGTCTGGTTCCCGGTTCCTAAAAGTGGAACCGGTGTCCGGGCGGTCCAGTTCTAGATTGAGAATGAGATCGACCGGACCGGACCTAAAATATATATTTTAATTTTTTTTAAATTTTTGAAGAAAGTAGAAACTGAAACCCTAATTTGCCTTTCCAATTTCCCCCTCTCAGTGCTCTCACCTTTCCCTCTCGCCTAACCAGTAACCCCTTGCTCACTCAAACGCCGACGACTCAACACCTTTCCCTCTCGCGGCCTCACCTCACGCCTTGCTTGACGTCTTACGACTCAACGCCTTTCCCTCTCACGGCCTCGTCCCACGCCTCGCTCGACATCGACGAGTCGATGCCTTTCCCTATCGCGGCCTCGCCTCACGCCTCACTCAACATCGACGACTTGATAACTTTCCCTATCGCGGCCTCGCCTCATGCCTCGCTCGACGTTGACACCTTTCCCTCTCGCGGCCTCGCCTCACGCCTTGCTCGACATCGAGAACTCGATGCCTTTCCCTATCGCGGCCTCGCCCCACGCCTCACTCGACGTCGACGTCTTTCCTACTCGCCTCATGCCTCACTGGACGTCGACACCTTTCCCTATCGCGGCCCCGCCCCACGCCTCACTCGACGTCGACGTCTTTCCTACTCGCCTCATGCCTCACTGGACGTTGACACCTTTCCCTCTCGCGGCCTTGCCTCATGCCTTGCTCGACATCGATGACTCGATGCCTTTCCCTATCGCGGCCTCGCCCCACGCCTCACTCGACGTCGACGTCGACGTCTTTCCTACTCGCCTCACGCCTCACTCGACGTTGACACCTTTCCCTCTTGTGGCCTCGCCTCACTTCTCGCTCGACGTCGATGCCTTTCCCTTTCGCGGCCTTGTCACGCCTCACTCGACGTCAACACGCTCAGCTTTCACGCAGCTCTCATTAGAGTTCAACACTCAAATGTAATGTCCGACTTCCTCTTGGTTGAAGAAATCCGACACGAGTCAATAAGTGTGGAATGTGGTCATGGGGACGCCCAGACCAGAATTTTATAATGCGAGACAAATAATCTTCAAAGAGCAAAGAAGTGTCCCGATTCGTGACTAGAATTTTTTCTCCAAATATTTCTTTTTATTCAATGTAATGACAATAAGTGATTGGTTCCATTGGAACCGGACTGGACCGAATCGTCCCAAGACCAGCTAGTCCAGTCCCCAGTCCCCATAAATTGGGAACTGGTCCTCCCGATTTGATTCCCGGTTCTGAGGTGGGATTGGACCTGACCGGGAACCAATCACCTCTAATGTTAATCATACATTGTAATATTTTTATGGGTTAATACCATGAAAAATCCAAAACTGGTACACTAATGACAATTGTACCCAAAACTAATTTTTTGATCACGAAAACCCCAAACAGGTACACTTGTGACAATTTTACCCCAAACTCATATTTCGACCACTAAAAACCAAAAACTGGTACATTTGTGACAAATTTAACCTCAATTAGTTTCCGTTAAATTAGATTAAATCACAGATAATCACAAACTGGTACACTTGTAACAAACTGAGGGTAAAACATAAAACTAGTACATTAGGCAAATGACTTGTGCCATTTAACAAAGTAATTTAACAATAAAATTTAAAGGAAATAAACTGAGGGTAAATTTATCACAGGTATACCAATTTGGGGTTTTTGATTGTCAAAAAATTAGTTTGGGGTAAGATTGTCACATATGTACCAATTTGAGGTTTTTCGTAGTATTAACCATATTTTTATATGCATTAATTCTTTATTAATTAGATAGATTATTCATAATTTTATACAAAAAGATTTTTCCTAACCTTGTTATGTAATTTTCGTAATGGAGATTAATTTTAAGGAGAAAATAATTTTTTTTCAAGGGGCAATAATTTTGCATTATTTTGAATTGGCAACTTTAATTAGTAAAATTAATACCTGCTAATAGAAAATTGTAAATTTCAAATAATTGAGCATTATCTTTCCTTTTTTTTTTTGCGAGTATTTTTACTTGATCCACTCATCTTAGTTACATGTGAATTAGCCATAATTATAAGGTCAAGCAATAGGTAGGTTTACCATTAACTTTTGACAAATCAAAGACTACACATAAAAATCCATATGCATCATGCATTTAATTATCCAAACATGCAAGATATAGGTCATAAGAAGTAAAACAAATAGCAAAGAAAAGCATTGCATAGGCATAGTTTAGTTCTATTAAATAGTAACATATAGAGTTCCAGCGGTTGCTTGCGCAACAATTAGTATATACTTAATAAAGTTTAGTCATTGTGACCGGTTAAAATTACTCAAAAGGACATTTTAATATTTAAAAGCGCAGTTGAAAAGTTGGATAGGATAAAACTTAAGACGTATTGTCGTTGTATACTAATCACACACTATTACGAGACAAGTAGAAGTTATACCCATGGTGCTGAAACGTTAAATTTTCCATCACACTTCCATTATTTATTTATTGTTCTCTTAGATTGTTTGTAAGATGCATGGCTTAATATCATGTACAAACTGACATTTTATAATCTTGAGGTAGAATCAATTCTCTTGTTCACATTTTACTTGATAGATCTATTAAGAAGACAGTATGTAAACAGATCAGTGTATAGACGATCCCATTACAAATGTTGTCCCACATATCTATTTCCAAAATAATGGACCACTTTATCTTATAATCGAAAGATTTTTTCTCGTGTTTGGTTGATGGGATGAGTGGTCAACTGGACAAATATCCAATTTTTGTGGTTATTTGATGGTCCTGGCTTGCATGTATTCGTTTTTTTATTGGTCGGAGCTTGCATGTATTCAGTTACTGGGAAATTATATATATTTTTTATATAGTGGTTTCTTAACGCAAACAAGGAATATAAAATACAGTGTAAAGAGATTACACTTCTGATCACTACACTTTAAGAGATATCATGATTGGCCCCTTTATTTTCATTTGTCATAAGTTTTAATTACCGTGCTCTTCTCTAACCACAGTATAAGTAATTTCGTCAAATTTTCATTCCAAAATCCAGTGAAAATTTTTTAGTCAGCACTCGCCCTCAACATGTGGTACCTATATGTAAAAGTCTTTGTGATATTTAAATCTTTTGCTAATAACTTTAACTCTCTACATTTGTATAGTAAAATAAAGGTTCCTCCCCCACAACGGTAGTTGGTCTAGAGGTATGGGGCTTACTCCCAAGAGGTTTGAGACCCTCTGATCTTATGTTTGTATCCCCAAATCTCTCATCGGCCTTAAGGTACCTTGGTTATTTTGGAGCATTGGTTCGATCATGCCTTGATATTGGATAATCCCTACTCTACTCCCACTAAAATCATGGTGGGACAACGATGACGTGCTTGCTCAAAATGAGTAATAGATATGGCTCAAACCAAATATTCTGTCGCGGGTATGGAACTCATATGATAATACCCAAGAGGGTCGCTGATGCTGGTGGCCCCTTCCCACCCTTTTTACTCAAATGACCTGTAGCATATTTCTTGACTCTAGAAATGACAATAACCCACGTGAAATTAATGATAGTGACTTTATCAAGTAGTGAAAAGGCAGAAAATAGCGAGTGTCAACCTTAACTCTTCAATAATGAGTAAGTAATTACATTACTACTGAGTTTGTTGATACTAATCGTAGAGATTGGTAAGTGCAGGTGTCACGTACTAATCAACGGATTCACTAGACATTTTGGTCAGGCGTTGCAGTGGAAATATTAAGACAAGTACTTTCAAGAAAAAAGAATACACGGGCTAAAATTGAATAATTGTAAAATTACGGTGATCAAGGGTGTAATTTATGTTCTTTAGTGGTACACATAGGCACCACAAGTCAATAATTAATATCTTTCTCAACGAGTCCTTTCAAACTTTGAATGTAGATTTGATAAAGCGACTTAAATTGTCTCTCAATAATAGTATTTTAAACTAGAATTATGACGAAATAAAGTATGGAGACGGAAATTCAGTGGTGGACTTGGGATGAGTAATGGCCCTGCCCCCCTTCCAAATATTTCTATATTACCCAACGAGAATTTTTTAGATATATTATCTTTTATTAGGAGAAATTTTTTTCTTAACCCTAATATTGAATTCTCGACTGAACCACCCATTTGACGTCCCTATATAATACCGGCTTTTGAGCATGATGGGAAATTCTGAAGAGAAAAATATATGACGTGATGGCATTGTTGAGGCAATTTCTTAATAGATTTTGAAATTGACAAAACTATCCATGTTAATCTTGTAAATCTGATATGTACTCTGAAGTATTTTGATCCAGGTAAATATATTCTGGAAGTGGCAACTTTAATACTTTAAGATAACTTAACTTTTTGGACACTCAGACTTTACGAGATTCAGAAGGAAAACTTCAGACTCTACGAGTTTCAGAACGAAAAGTTCAGACTCTACTGAAATAGACACTCAGACTTTATCTTAAGATGTCAGAGAACTTCAGACTCTAATTTTGAAGGACTCAGACTTTACTGAAGACCTACGCTGACTTTGTTTCTGATTATAAAGCGAGAACCAAAAACTCTTCAGACTCAGAATTTATTTAGAACGAAACATAACGGCTAGCGATCTGGTGTGGATTTCACAAAAGGAAAGTTTTGATTGACTCAATCGAAGGCTATAATTGATTGACAAATCAGACATTATGGCAAGTATATATCACAACGGATAAAGCTCTTCTTATGAAAACCAAGATTTTGGTTGTATAGGCGACCAGATTCAGTGGGATTCAGATTTTATCAACCAACGGCTACTCAATCTATTTTATACAAATTTGTCCAAGGTGAAGATTGGACGATGATCCTCTGAAGACTGTCCAACGGCTAGTTTGGAAGTGGAGGAGTATAAAAGGAGATTAACGAGGAGCAGAAGGCAGCGAAGGAAATCGAGAATCAACAAGTCCAAAGTTTGAGTACGTTCCGATTCTATTACTTGTCTTTCTTGAGCTAAATACTGAGATTTCGAGTGACATTATGTAACAGTAATTGTGTAAGATACAGAGTTCTGTCATTCACCGAGTGTTATCACTCATAACTTGTAATCCCTTTTGATCATATAGTGGAATCCAGTCAGTAGGCTATCAGCGTGGGAGAGTAGACGTAGGTTTGATCTAAGCCGAACTACTATAACTTCTTATGTGCAGTTCTCTTTATCCTTAATCTCTCATTATATTGTTTACACTGCATACTAGCACATTCAGAATCTGAACATTGTTCAAACTTTATTGATTATAAATCGTTTCCGCTTTAAATTCTTTAAAATCACTCAAATCACCTATTCAACCCCTCTTGGTGATACTTGCTAGCTACATCGGACACCAATATAACCCGGGACATTTCCTAGTGCACGATTGATGCCGAAATGGCTACATAAAAAAATATCGATTTATCATTCAAATATTGTCTTTGTTCGATCAAAAGTGTTGTCAAATGCATTTTTTAAATGGGTTAATACCACGAAAAACTTCAAACTGGTACATTTGTGACAAATTTACCCAAAATTAATTTTTTGACCACCAAAAGCCCCAAACTTGTATACCTACGACAAATTTACCCTAAACTAATTTTTTTACCACCAAAAACCCGAAATTGGTACATTTTTGACAAATTTACCATCTGTTAAATTGGATTAATTCCACGAAAAACCTTAAATTGATACACCTGTAAAACCCCAAATTAGTACACCCGTCAACTGGCATTTGTCATCCAACTTAGTGATTTGACAGTAAAATTTAACGAAAATTAGTGGAGGGCAAAATTATCACAGATGTACCAGTTTAGGGTTTTGGTGATCAAAAAATTAGTTTTAAGTAAATTGATTACATGTGTACTAGTTTGAGATTTTTCGTGATATTAATCCTTTTTAAATTACTTAAATAGAAAGTATACATGGTAATAACTTCCGGCTTT